AGCAACCAAAGATTACAGAGCATGGATTCATCCATCTGAGGTTTTTTTCTCTCCTGACATGGCCTGGAAAAGTTTATTCTCCTTGTGCAAAGCCATTGCCTGTTCTAAGAATAAATACAAACCTTTGGGCTATCAATAGGTCAACTCAAATGGGAAAAAAAACAAAATCAAGGAAAACAGAAGTCTAGTAGAGTATCCCTGATTCAGCATGTGATCAGATTACGGGCTGCCTTTCCCTAAAATGCTGACATCCCTTCACTCCGGACAACTTCAATGGCCCTCATGAACGCTCAGCCCCTCCCACGGGATTTAGGCACGTAAGAAATTATTGCACTTCCTCCACAGCAATTGATCACATTTCTAAATGATGTCTGGGGTAACAGGAGCCAGTCTTAACAGCCACCACTTTCTACTTCCAGCCTCCCCTGTCCCATCCCATTGAATTGCTGATGCTGGGCCAAAGCCAGGAGCCCAAGGGAAGAATATGGCCATACCCACGACATGCCCTGCCGACAGCTCCCCTGGAAACCCCATCCTCCTTTACGTACACTTGGGGCTGGGGTGCAGGGCTGGGACGTCGCTAGCCCCTCATATAAAGTGGGGGAGAGCCAAGGGGACGCCCACATGTCTGGTCGCTGCTGTGACGTCCCCACTTCAGCGGATTTCACAGCCTCCCTCCATTGCCTCCTTTTATTTATATTTTTCACAAGGGGTAATTTGCAAGTGGTTTGCATACAGAGGGTACCTCTCCTTGAATCACAGCGGGCAAAAGGCTGTGCAAGTGTTCCTGTGTTGCCCTGCTGGGTACAAGGGGACAGATTTTGTGCAGGTGTCCTCTCCCAGCCTGATCTACTATGGAAAAATCTGGCAGAACTAAAGTTCTGGCACTGGGGAATGACTTCCTTCATGTAATTAAGAGCAGCCTCAGGATCCCTGTGAGTTGCCCTTAGTTGCTAGTAGCTCGTGAACTGTGCCCCACCCCACTCTCCTCTAGTACCCACACAACTTCATCTGGCAAAATTATATCACAAAAGCACTACTAAAATGATAACAGCCCTGCAGAAGGGCTCTGGGAAGGAAGGCAGGCATTAGCCAACCAAGAAAGCAACAGCACAGGGGAAAAGGGATCTCATCTATATGGTCTCTCCTTCCTCGAGTAGCACGCGGCTAATGCTACCTGCAGCCTACACTGCTGCCTCGGCCCCAGCTGGGGTTGTGCTGCAGCTTCTGTCCATTATACAAATCTCATGACATCCCTCAGGTAGGTAGTCCTGCCTAGGGCAAACTAAGGAACACTGAAGGAAAAACTGGCTGCAGTTTTCCCTTTGCAAATGTTTGGGAAGAGCCCCAAACAGTGCCTGGTAGTTCACAAGGGGAGCCTGAAACCCAATAACAGTTCATTTTTTGATTAACATTTGTCTTTTTTTTATGTGATCTGCTTATGTTATTGGACTGACAGGTTTTTCTCATGTCTAAAACGGGCTCTTTTAGTAATATCCTTGTCTGGCAGCATCTGAACCCAAAAACCAGTACCACTGAAACTGGATGGCCCTGTCAGGCCACAAACAATCATATTTGCTAAAAATGTGGGGTTTTTTTTCTTCAACAAAATTTTGTACATGAGGAATTAAGTTACTGAAAGGCATTTGGATGTCGGAATGCTGAGACATATTGAAAAATAGTTATTATAAACAATGTCTTCTTTTTTATTAATAAAGGAGTAGAGAAAGCCACATTAGGAAAGTTTTTCAAAGAAACGACGTGGCAGATTAAAGGATACAGAAGGCCAGAGGAGTGAGTGTGGATACAGATATGTATAGCCAGAGGCTAGACATTAATCTACGTTAAGCTTCACAACTTTAGTGGTAGCATTTGTTATCACACACGCTAACGGAGTGGAGAAAGGAAGTTTGAGGTGGTTTGAGTACATGGTGCAAAATAAGGCCCAAAACTAAAGCAAGGGATGATCAGCGCTCCCCTGGAGCTCGGTGCTGCCAGCTGCTGAGCATCCGACCCCTGAAGAGCCCTCTGCGAGGAGAAGTCTGATACCCTACGCACTGCAATCAGCTGGGCTCCCCAGCCTGGTTTCAGTTGGGTCTGGATCAGGGTTTAAGTGCACATCTTAGTTTAAAACAAAAGCTTTTGTACTGCCCTGCACACAGCAAGATAATGTTTTGATGGAGTATACCAGTCATTTCGGATAATGTGTGCGAGGGCATATATATATCAAACAGCTTCTGGAAAACGTGAGAGCATCAGTGCCTTGAATTAGAAATTCAGATCTTTTCAGGAACAAAGGAGTACATGTACAATTGTTTCTTGAAAGGATCGATTGGGCATAACTTACTGTCTTTCCTCCAAAAGAAAACCTTTGATATAGAAGAACCTGAACATTTCAAAACTGAATATCTGGGGTTAAGCTATGGTTAATTTAATCATAAAAATTATATAGATCTTAATTAAGAGGTCTGTAAAGTACTTCAGCTTGTCGTTGAGTTTACGGCTGTATGTAATATCCTCCGAAAATCTTGTTCCAGTATCAGCTAACAAAACTGGCAAGTTTGTTTAGATTATTGTTCTGCTAGATAAGATAAAAGCTGCGATAACACTGCAGGGTGATCAGCCTGCTTGCAGATACGGACACCAGCTTACCCCGGAAGCTGCAGTCTGTGTGCTGGGAGAAGCGGTTTTGCTACAGTCGTCTGAGTTAGTAGAAGACGTGGATGTTGGAGTCATAGGAACCGCAGTAGTACTGTTACCTGAAAGATCGGGAAGTGGTATTAAAAACAAATATTTTCCAGCCAGGGGAAAAAAAAAAAAAATCTCTTGCAGCTCAACTGTCTTATCTTCTTATATTTACCAGAGCATGCCTTTGACTTATTTATGTTCTTAGGTTTTCGTTTCCGGGTCTGAATTCCTTCTTTTTTCATAGCAAGAGGTCGGGGAACCTGAAAAAATTAAATTTCCACATCGATCACAGAGTTTCATATCTTCTCTAATGCAAAAAAATTCAAAATATACTACAAGATCAGTGATGTTAAAAATACCTGTATAGCAAATAATTTTTTACTGTATCACCATAACAATTCAAAAAAAAAAATTTGTATTTTATTTGGGCAATGCAATGGGTTGTTTCAAGGGCAGTTTCAGTTGAATAAAGAAAGGGAAACTTTTTTTCTGATGCCAACTAAACAGTTTTTCCAAAACCTCAGCCAGTCCACAGATACACAGCACAATATTAGGTAAAAACAGTACTGTTTGGCCATGGGTCATATGAAATTAAATTGGACAGGGTATAACTGACCCCTAATTCCATATTCCAGCCAGTTAGGAATTATCTCCAGTGGCTGATCCTGGAAAGCATGTGAGGGGAAAAAATACTTCCCTTCCTGTGGACCAGGTACACAAACCAGATCATCACCAGTAAGTGTCTTAGGACAGAAACTTCAGGCCATAATTGACTTAGTATTTGTTCTTTCAAGCATTTCTGCCTGCGATACAGCTTCATAGCATCCAAATTTATATTTATAGGGCACATATGATCAAGAATTTAGCTTTGTGTTCTGTGTCATCACAACGATAATCATTACACAGTAAACACTGCCTTAAAACATATTTTAACTCAATGACAACACAAGTTTAGGGAATGACAATTCAGGCATGTGTTTACTATCATTATAGTGTTTAAACCTGTGATAGAATTTATTTTCTTGAGAATCAGATAGACCAAGTCCCAGTAACTCCTAATGCCCTCATTCTTCAAGCCCTTGTGCTTGACTGTAACTTAACCCACAGGGGCATAACAGGCTCCAAGTCTCACCCAAAACATAACTCCATCACATCCACAATAGAGATGTTTTCTTCCTCTACTATTGCCTAGCAAAGGCTGAAATGACATTTCAAGTTTTGCTGGCATAGCTATGGCTTGATTTACATTTGAAGTTTTGCTGGCATAGCTTCGTCTGTCCATGAAACACTGTCTTATTAAAGGTCTGGTTTAAATCCCAGTGGCAAGAACAACTCTGCCACTCATCCAGAGGCGGTTTCTTTGTACAAATCTGTCAGAAGAGCTACAACAGCAAACAACTTGATAAAACAACTTGATAAAATGGTAAAACGATTTTCTAATGCTGGGAATTTTGGGGTCATTTTATGCATTTTCTACACGTACATCCTTTTTTAACTCCACAGTCCAAACCATGAGTGGAGACTGTTAGCACCAACAGAAACATCGCCCCAGCTTGAGAAAGCCCTATGCCGCTCCCCAAAGCCACCAGACACCCGCCATCCCTTTCCCAAAGGATTATCGGAGCCAGTGGTGGGGAACCTCCTTCGTCAAAGTGGCCGCTTACCCCGTGGAGCTTCATGTAGAGGCCACAGGCGTTGCAGACGGGCTCACCCTCCGCGTTCCTGCGCCACAGGGTGGTGGTCGTGGTGTGGCAGTTGGCACACGACAAGCCCAGCCGTCGCGACGAGGGCTAGAGGCAAGCGTAGGCAAACATGGGCATAAACAGGCAGGCGGGAGATCTATGTCTTTATAGTTTATAAAAAGTACCTTAACACGCAGTGTGGAACAGTAGGAGGGTTGGGTTGGGTTTTTTTACACCACCTATCAGCAGCAGCCCAGAATTAAAACATGATTATCCTAATCTCAGAGACTGGAAAGCTGACGTGAAGAGGCACTGCGAGTCTGCAGTCGTGGCAGAGCCAAAATTAACACTTTGGGAGCTGCAGACCTGGGGACGTCTGGTCAGACCACCAGGCACTGGCTTTTCCTCCAGCAGGACAGCCAGGAACCACCTCCACTAGAGCTCCATCCAGCTGAGAAGCAAGCACATTGCTCCTGTGCTGCCCTGCCAGCCAGCTCATCGCCCTCTCCCCTGTGCAACGGTCGAAGAGACAGCTCTGCAGTTGCCACTGACAATCCCAACTCATCAGAAAAATCACTCTTTAATCACCTGCCCTTGTTGGCACCATGGCTGGGGAAAACTGTCCCGGGCATCCCAGCGGGAACACAGACAACAGCAGCATCTTTATAAAAAGATCTCGTTATCATCGCTCATTTTATCATTGGGCCAAAAGCAACGTGCCTCAGGAGCGTGTTTTACGGAGCAGAGCTTCCCCTCAGCCAGCAGAAAAGCTGGCGGGTGACAAGAAGGTCCCCACTGCAAACAAGGCATTTATGACACTCTTCCATGGAGTTTGGAGCCGAGGTGAAGCAACCTTGTATCAGAAACAACCGTATAACCCGGAGCTTTATGGCTGCAGGCTGTATATCATAAGTGAAGGCAGTGCTCATAAACATGTGAAATGAAGGTGAATGGGTAATAAAAGTCCCTGTAACAAGTGATCTCTTTTACGTTCATCACAAGCAAGGAATTCCAGCTACATCATAAATCTAGTCTTTTTCAAAGTGTTGCATTGTCAAAAAAAAAAAAAAAAAGAAATCTGTGCCTAGCTCTGTGCCTGGCAGCTGAACAAGTTTACATGGAGAAGTCAGTTTTAGAGGATCGCATTAATCTTATTCTGACTATAAAGCACCCATAACAGAAATTACTAACTTAAGGGTACAATGCCCTTCCTCCTGAATCATTTACTGCTAGGTTGTTAGACGTAACTCGGTCACCTTTGATACCGCAGAGCTGCCTGCCACTTGGGAAACCAATAAAAATGTTTTGAGAATGAAGAATATTCCAGAGTAATAACCGAGTTTCTAGAATTTTATCTGTTGGAGTTTCTTTAGCAGTAAGCTGTCGTCTTGCACCGCAGCTCAGCAAGAACTCCAAATTAAATCTGAATTTTGTAACTCTGTATCAGTAATCCATTATTTATTGCACAGGCAAAAAAAAAAAATATTAGTGTAATCTAGGTTGAAGTACATGCATATACTTTTTAACCTTAAAAAATCCAGGTCTCATGAGAACAGAATTTTTGACCTCGTTATTAAACACGTACGCACACGGCGTCCAAATGGTGCTCCTCGATTTGATACAAGTTTTACATGGGTCCGGTAAAAAAAACAGCTGGTCTTAACACATATGCTTTGTTTTCTCTCTTTGCATGCGAAATGCTGTCAGATGTTTCGCCCTGTTAAATCTTTCTCTTTTTTGTATGCAGTCTGGTATAAATCTTCATACATTTTATTTCAACAGCTTTTGCCTATTCCCGAAGCTAAACGGACGGGAAGCGGGGGTTCGACATGTTTTGAAGCTAAAATGACTTTTCTGCCACAGGAATTTTATCAGAAACTTGGGGGCAATCTAAACATGTTTAGCATTTTCAAAACATTTTCCCTTCTCACCTACATATTTCCAACTGTATGAACACACCGTCACGGTTGATTTATAGTTATGGCCAAGGTACTGGGTAGGGATTGTTACACAGAACTATTTCAGAGTTATTTTGCCGAGGTGTCAGGCTGAAATCGGGCTGCGGTTTGACTCTCTTTTAGTCTCCTCGCCCCCTCCTCTCCTTCAAAAAAAGGAAGAAAGGAAACCGAAATACCAGAGCCAAGTATCAGCTACTCGAAATCTGCATTGGGCCGGGGTGCCACGGCCAGTCAAGCTCTGACACTTCAGACAAGCGGCAGATCTGGCCCGTCTGCTGCGTTTGTCCCCGGTAATGAGATAACGCCGCGTGTCCTGAAATCTAGTGGATGGCCAGCTAGAAAAAGCCGGCGCCCAGCGGTAATTAACCTCTGGCTTAAAATTAAATTGACTCTTTGGCGTAAAGAAAGGTCTTTAGGCGGAGGTGGGGTCGGTTCATGAGCGCTCGCTGTCCGCTCTGATCATCGTGCCTATGGTTTGTGTTTCCCCCCTGCCCCGTAAGGGCATTAAATTCAAACGGTTGTGAAATAAAGAACGGGATGTGTTTTAACACTAGGAAAACAGGCAAAGCAGCTGGCATGATTGAAAGGGGCTTGAAAGGCTGATGGCTTTGATAGACTGTCTCCATACACAAGGGTCCGAACACCAGCTTGGATTATACGGGTGTGATTTATTGTGGCTCGCTCGGTAACAGCCATTATTGAAGAGCGTATTCTTTCTCTCCGCTGACCTCCACCCAGATTTACTAAACATAACGTGCAGTTCCCACTTGTTAAATTTTCTCCTTGCCTATTCAGTGCCAGCCTCAGTTATAAACAGGGGTTCTGGTTTGTACTATTTATTTCCCCCCCTAGTTTTAGGAGTATATTTTTAGAAAAATTGCCGCTCATTTCTTAGGAGCAAAACAAAACAAAGGCTATTATCATTGTTTAAACAATTGGTTTTCTTTGAATTATATACAAAACTTGCTTACATTCCCAAGGATCGAGCTCTCAGCAAACAAAGCAGGTCTGGAGAAATTCCTAGCCCTCAGAACAAACACTTTCCAACCTTGATTTTTTTTTTTTTTTCTGTTGGAAATGCCCACCATCAGCAGCACGAACTTTTTCCAAGCTGCCGATGCCCACGCACCGAGGGGGTCCACCAAATCAAAAAGTCAGGCCGGTCTGTGCCCGGTGCGTGGCTGGCCGGGGGCAGAGGGCAATTTCGCCAGCGCAGGGCCGGGAGGTGGGTGCGGAGGGGCACCCAGAGGGCTGCCAGCCCTGTCGCCCCTCACCACGACGGCTTTGGTGGATCACCGGGCTAAGAGGCTCTGATTGCGCTCCCCCATC